CGGTGAGATCATGCGTTATTGCTCCGGGCTCATTAAGGAAAGCCGTTTGTCTGGTTTATCTGTTGTTGTTGTTGTGCAGCCCTGGGAATTTCTCTCTCACGCTGATGTCTCTCAGTGATGTAGAACTTGTAAAAGCAGTGGCATTTCAACTATTTATATTTTTATTATGACATTCAGCTCTTTAAAATGGCAGTTGTTTCTAGCATTGCGATGAGATTAAAGGAGTAGTTCACTTTTAAAAAACTTTTGTCATCCAAGATGTCCATGTCTTTCTTCCTTCAGTCGAAAAGAAATTAAAACATTCCAGGATTTTCTCCATATAATGGACTTCAATGGGAACCAAACGGTTCAAGGTCCAAATGAGAGTTTCAGTGCAGCTTCAAAAGGCTTTAAGTGACACCAGACGATGAATAAGGGTCATATCTAGGACACTTCGAGTCATGAATCGAAAAAAGCCCTTTGAAGCTGCACTGAAACTCTTCATTTGGACCTTGAACCGTTTGGTTCCCATTGAAGTCCATTATATGGAGAAAAATCCTGGAATGTTTTCATCAAAAACCTTAATTTTTTTTCGACTGAAGAAATAATGTCATGGACATCTTGGATGACAATGGGGGTGAGAAAATTATCAGCAAAAGTTGTTTTTTTTTTAAATGAACTACTCCTTTTAAATACAAAAACAACTGGAGGATTTTGCTTTTTCTCAAAAATTTCCCTCAGTAATGCTTTGCCTGAAAATACCTATGTTTGCAATCACAACTCCAGATCGAAAAGGGATTTTTAACACCAATGCTTTTTTTATTTTTTAAAACTATATTTAAAAATAATCTTTTGAATGGAAAGATTCCGTGGATATTAAAGTGCCCCTATTATGGATTTATGAAAATGACCTTTAGTGTAACATTGCCCTAAGTGAATGAAATCATCCTGCAAAGTTTTAAATCTGTAAGTGCACCGTATCAATAAGAGTCGAGTCTAAAGGCCCGTACACACCGGGACTCGGCATTTTTTAACGTGTTTTTTGTGTTCACACCCTATCGATTTTCGCTGACGATGAGCCGAGTGAACATGCAAATTCATTCCCTGACATTAGATGGCGCCAGTTTGCTCTGCAATACCACTCCATATCAGTTCTCTTATCAAGATGTTTGTAGTCGCTGTCGTGTTTATCACATAGTTCTTTATGTTCTAACACCAACGAGACCAGCAGCTCTACATTCATCTTGCCTCGCATCTTCCTCGTCTTATTTCTTCCTGGCATTGTAGACGGCGACGCTACTTGGTGTGTATCTTCTCCTCCGTTACATATGTGTGCTCATCAAGAGCGTTTTGTGTTTGAGCGCCCCCTAGTTTTGTTTTACTGTAACTTCAGAAGCTCCAAAAACGTGAGCAAAATCTCATTGGTCGGATAGTTTTTGACGCGGCGCGTCAAACAAAAAACGAACCCGACGAACCCGCATTTTTAAAAAAATGACGCTTTTACGCGTGGCGGTGTGCACACTCACATCGGCGCCCATTGTTTAGTGAAGAGCCGTTAAACGTCGAAGATTATCGCGTGCGAAATTCGCCCCGATGTCAATGAAATGAATCGTTTTTCAGGTGAGTCATAAGCCGTTTCGTCGTGACGTCAAGACGAAACATTAGCATAGACCAATCACAACAGACTGAGCTGTCTGGCCAATCAGAGCACAGTAGCTCGTCGGAAAGAAGGGATTTAGAGAGATTGATTCTTCTGACGAGTCGTTTGAGAATCATTGAAAATGTGGTGATGTGCAAATGTATATTATGAAGAAATGAAACTGTATTTTGACCTTTGATGCGTGTAAACCTGTTGTAGGAGACTCCACAACAACATGACGAAACTTTAGAATAGCGTGATAGGGCACTTTAAAGGTTGTTCATGGAACCAGCAATGCCAATAAAGAAGCTTTATTTTTTGTTAAGAACTCAAAAGTTTCTTAGATGATCTGATCTATGATGTCATTGGTTGTATAGCTCTTCTTACTGTATTTCAGTAGTTGTAGAATATCTGTCCGTTTTCATTTCAGTAATGAGAAATGTTTTGAACGTATCTTTCATGTGATTAGCTTTATATTCTGATCTTCACTCAATGCTGGATTGTTTTCTGGGGTAGGACAGTCCAACAGCTGAATGTTTCACTGAAGACTCATTATAAACACGCCCCATGACCGAAGAACATACACACACACACACACACACACACACCCCGCTCTGGTTGTGTGTTCACTGTCTGTTGTTCGCGCCGCACGCAGGATTAATGTGTGATGTGTTGAAGGAATGGCATGCCAGGGAACAGGTGTGTTTTGGTTTTTCGTTCATTTACGTTCTTCCTCGTCCTCATCTTCCTCTTCTCTCTCTCTCTCTGTCAGGTGTAGTTTCTCTTATTTTTTTTTTTTTGAATGAACGGTTAAGGAACTCCTTTCTCGTTCTGTTCTCCTCATGTTAGCTTGTCTACACTTGGCTTTGGCCGGTGGTTCTCAACTGGTTTTGCTGTATTTTTGACTCTTGAGCTCTGATGGGACGAGGCACGTTTGAAACTGTTGTAAAATCAATATAAACACACCTGATCGCATGTTTTATATTAACACACATTACTTAAAATAATGATTTTAAAAATGATTAACAATAGATGTGACTGTATTTACATTGTTTTTGCATTGCTTTGCATTGGTGTGTATTTGGCACACATTATAAAAACACTATAATCTATCTATCTATCTATCTATCTATCTATCTATCTATCTATCCATCTATCCATCTATCCATCTATCCATCTATCCATCTATCCATCTATCCATCTATCTATCTATCTGTCTGTCTGTCTGTCTGTCTGTCTGTCTGTCTCTGTCATCTATCTGTCTGTCATCTATCTATATATCTATCTATCTATCTATCTATCTATCTATCTATCTATCTATCTATCTATCTATCTATCTATCTATCTATCTATCTATCTATCTATCTATCTATCTATTTATCTATCTATCCATCCATCTATCTATCCATCTATCATCTATCTATCTATCTATCTATCTATCTATCTATCTATCTATCTATCTATCTATCTATCTATCTATCTGTCTATCTGTCTGTCTGTCTGTCTGTCTGTCTCTGTCATCTATCTATCTATCTATCTATCTATCTATCTATCTATCTATCTGTCTGTCTGTCTGTCTGTCTGTCTGTCTGTCATCTATCTATCTATCTATCTGTCATCTGTCTATCTATATCTATCTATATCTATCGTTCTGTCTATCTTTTCGAGCGTTCTATCATTCTATCTTTCGTTTTACTGTTCTATCGTTCTATCTATCACTCTATCGTTCTATCTGTATACCTATCATTCTATCGTTCTATCATTCTATCTATCTTTTTATTGTTCTATTGTTCTATATATCATTTTATTGTTCTATTGTTCTATCTTTCGTTTTATTGTTCTATCATTCTATCTATATACCTATCGTTCTATCATTCTAATTTTTAATGTTCTATCGTTCTATCTATCATTTTTTGTTCTAGCGTTCTCTTTTGTTTTATTGTTCTATCGTTCTATTTTTCACTTTATCGTTCTATCTGTATACCTATCATTCTATCATTCTATCTGTCGTTTTATCATTCTATCTATCTTTTTATTGTTCCGTCGTTCTATCTATCGTTTTATTGTTCTATCGTTCTATCTTTCGTTTTACTGTTCTATCGTTCTATCTATCACTCTATCGTTCTATCTGTATACCTATCATTCAATCTTTTTATTGTTCTATTGTTCTATCTATCGTTTTATTGTTCTATTGTTCTATCTTTCATTTTATTGTTCTATCATTCTATCTTTATACCTATCGTTCTATCATTCAAATTTTTTTAATGTTCTATCGTTCTATCTATCGTTTTTTGTTCTAGCGTTCTCTTTCGTTTTATTGTTCTGTTGTTCTATTTTTCACTCTATCGTTCTATCTGTATACCTATCGTTCTATCATTCTATCTATCGTTCAATCATTCTATCTATCGTGTTATTGTTCTATTGTTCTATCTATCGTTTTATTGTTCTATCATCATTCTATCTTTCGTTTTACTGTTCTATCGTTCTATCTATCACTCTATCGTTCTATCTGTATACCTATCGTTCTATCTATCGTTCTATCATTCTATCTATCATTCAATCATTCTATCTATCGTGTTATTGTTCTATTGTTCTATCTACATACCTCTCATTCTCTCGTTCTATCATTCTATCGCTCTATCGTTCTGTCATTCACTCTATCTATAATTCATTTGTTCATTCTATTGTTCTATCAGTCTGTCATTAACTCTATACATCTATCTGTCTGTCTGTCTATCCTTCTGTCATTCTCTTAATCTATCTATCTGTCTGTCTCTCAGTAAGGCCTAAATGGCCGTTGAATTATAATCTTCACACTTCAAGCAATTTCAACTGTTTTAAACTTTCAAGCAAAGCAAGATTAACTTTGCCTTGACAGATGTTCCTTTTCTAGCTCTCTCTCTCTCTCTCTCTCTCTCTCTCTCTCTCTCTCTGTCTCTCTCTCTCTCTCTCTCTCTCTCTCTCTCTCTCTCTCTCTCTCTCTCTCTCTCTCTCTCTCTCTCTCTCTCTCTCTCTCTCTCTCTCTCTCTCTCTCTCTCTCTCTCTGTCTCTCTCTCAGCTGATTATATAGTGCAGTGTGAGCTGGTTGATGTGGTTTGTGTCTCTGTCAGTCTTCGTCTGCAGAAAGACCGCAGGGTGATTTTATATCACTTACCGAACCGAGGCGCGGATTGATGTCACTGTGAGGATGAGGTGTCATTTAAGATCTGTGGGAAATCGCTTATTGAATTGTTGAATTTTCATGCGCAATCGTTAATAAGAATATAGTGGAAGACATGAAGCTCTTAATGAACCTTTTCTGATCCGTTGAGCTGGTTTTGCTGGTTTCACTTTTCACTTGACTCGATTTCGTTTTCTCTCTCTCTCTCTCTCTCTCCTTCAGGGGGGTTAGGTCCAGAACTCGGCCCCCCTCCCTCAGTGGACGAGGCAGCAGACACGTTGATGACTCGTCTTGGCTTCCTACTCGGAGAAAAAGTGAGCGAGGGGTCTCGAGGGCCGCAGTACAGCATGGAGGAGCCCGATGACGCACAGGTGGGCTATTCAACCTCACCTCCTGCTATAAATACACACACCTCCCTATCATATAGAACAGGAATAACACATACGTTTCGACTTTCTCAGGCCTTCAACTCTCTGAAGAACGCCTGTGAGCCAAAACGTATGTGCTATTGTAATTAAAAAGATAGGATACAGTAAGAAAAGCGAGCATGCACGGTGTAAATTAACTATATTGCCGTAGATTATTACAAAATAAAAGTTGCACGAAATCTTCCGATAATTAAAATAGTCTCTAATCTTTTTATGTTCCTTAATCTAAACTTCTGTTTTATTTTCTTTTAGTCACCACAGTCAGATACATAAATAGTGTGCAATAATAATATATTATTGTAGAGAAATTTTATTTATCCTTATGATAATGTTACTGGTAATACAATAGTTAACTACCTTAAATACTTCTTCAGCATTTATTAATCTTAGTTCATATTAATTTTAGCATTTACTAATACATTATTAAAATCAAACGTTGTATTTAGTTAATGCACTGTGAACAAACACACAATGAACAGCTGGATTTATATTAACAATACTCTAACAAAATGTACTCTATTGCTCATTGTTAGTTCATAACGAACCTTACTAAGTGTCACCTTTCCACATTTGGTATGTGGGAGAATATGAAAATAATATCACGCTGCAGTAAAAAGAAACGTCCACAGTTTTCACAGTAAAAAACCCTTGTTCTTTGAGCTGTCAGCTTCAAACATGATCTTTCCCTCCTGCAGAGAAGAGGACACATATGGCCTTCAGATGAGTTTACCTCTAATTAGGGAATTATGGAAGGACAGCCTCTTTGCTATTGCGCTCTGTTGATACGGCAGTTTTCCTCACGTCTGCGTGCATTTGTGAGCTTCACCACAGGAAGGGTTGAAACAACAGGATCAGAAATATAGTGTTGAATAACCTCAGAGAAAGAGAGAGAGTGAGTGTGTGTGTGTGAGGACTGTCTCTCTGACCTTAAGTAGTTGTGAGGGTTTTAAGGCGAGGTGCTTTGCCTGTTGTGACGTTTGATGTTAATGTTGGAAGTGGGCAGATTATCCATGCCATGCTTCATTAAGCCCTGCCCGGGTCCTCAGTGCCCACCTAACCCCAGCCGACACTGCATCACAGGCGGAGAGAGAGAGAGCCTTCCTGTCTTGGTTGAGAATAATTGGTCAACTTCAAACACAAGCCCACACTGAGAGAAAAAGTTATGTGTGCAGTGATGGGGAAAGTTACTTAAAGTAATGAATTACAATACAGCATTACGTCGCGTTACATTACTTTAGTGTTGCTTTTTCTCATCTGGGCTGGGCTTGCTTGTTTGTTTTTTAATAACAACAAAAAAAAGTTATATTTTTGGAAAATATAAAGACCCTTTCACACCAAGGGCCCTATTTTAATGATCTAAAACACAAGTGTCAAGTGCAAAGCGCAATTACTTTGTGGGTGGATCTCGGAGCTGTTGCTATTAAAAGGTTCTGTATTATACCCCTTTTCACAAGATGTAAAATAAGTCTCTGATGTCCCCAGAATCTGTATGTGAAGTTTCAGCTCAAAATACCCAACAGATAATTTTTCACAGCATGTTTAAATTGTCATTTTTTGGGGCTCAGAAAAACGCGATGTCTGAGTGTGTGTCCTTTTAATGCAAATGAGCTGCTGCTGCCGGCACAGGGGGCGGAGCTTCATGAGCTCGCGTTCAGTCTGTCAGCACAGTAAGTTTCTTCTCACAGAATGACGATAATATCAGAAACTCCCAGTAACGGTGTTCATTTCGAGTCGGACAATAATGCCTACAGAGTCAGAGTGCTGTACAGAGATGAAACAGGTATAGTTTAGTAGTTTAATTACGGTTATTATAACGTATTTGTCATCTGACTGCTTGTATCCATTATTTATTGATAGCCTACAAGTCTGCTGTTTCGGACCAGGTCCGAATGATGATCAAACATATATTGTTGAGTTTAATAAAGTTTATTGTACATCACACAAAAGATGAAGCGTCAGTTTTACTTCAGAAAATCACCGTAAGAGCTGAGTAAACACAGTAGTAAGTTGAGGGAGCGATCCTGTGGGCGGTTAGTCAAAAACCTGTTCTACTGACGTCATTAAAGAAGGAAGTAGAGGGATGTAGTCCAAACGGGCCGTTCGATGTAGGCTACTTCTGTTAAAGTCCCCGTGAACCGGAAGTTGCAAACGATTTTTCTCCAGTGCTGTGACGTATTTCCAAGTGAAACGGAATATTGAACAGAGGGCAGGGTTTTACTCTAGCGCTCCTCCTCTCCATCTCTCGCTCATAGCAAACGAACTTTTTGAGGGGAGTGGTTAAGCGTTTCCCCACCCAAACTGTGAAACCTACGTCATCAGAAAAAGAAACTGTTCCAGACCGGAAGTAACTTTTCAGATTTTGATTAAAGATTACTAAGGTAAAACATTTTTTAAAATATATATTCACTTGCACGGATTAATTGTTCACCACAAGACTAGTAATATGCGCTAACAAAGTAAATAGGTTCAATTTTGATTTCATGGGGACTTTAAAAATAAATCTCGATTGGCATTGAACTTTGAGCTTTATCATTTTACAGATACTATTTATACTCTCACAACAACATTACACACGAACTAAAGTTTGAAACATGGGATCACGAAGAACGGGACCTTTAACCGCGGCGGGATAATCGACTCTTGCGCTCGACACAAATCTAAAAGAGGTTGGTCTGGGGTAGCTTCATTATTCATAGGTGTGATTTGGGCGTAACGGGAAACAAACCAATTAGAGCGTCATATCACATTCCCTTTAAGAGTGTGAAGAACGAGGGGCGCTTGTTGCATGGCGCAATACTATTATAACGGCACATTTACGAGGCACGCTTCAGAATTGGTTCACATCCGAGGAGATCGATGTTCTCGTCAGGGCCGTAAAAGAAAGAGAAGTGACATTGGGGACGGGACAAACACACCCAAATTAGCTTAAGTTAAACATGCATATAATAATTTGGGTAAATGTGTTAGCGCTATGCCTATTTTTCATATCGTCATGGACACAACAATGATTTCCCTCCTGTTTTAATATTTTTCCTTATAATAATGTATCATTTGCAAAAAGTACAATGCATCTGCGTAGATGAGAGAATCGTCTACAGTTTATGCGCGTTGTTCACACTCTGTATTATGGCCAAGCATGCGCACTTAAAATAGCATCTGAATGTACACGCAACGGGCATGCATATATGCATATTTCCACGTGTACAGTAGATGGCGCTGGTTAAACTAACCTCAGCTGTGCTGACAATCTGGATTAAAGAACAAGAGGATACAGGAGAGAAGGAAGTTCAACACTCTTATTTCTAAATCTAATCCAAAGTAATTTTTGCTTATTAGTTTGGTTGAATTAGATCATTGAAGGTCCGCAGCAAGACGTTGGTTAATAAAGTGAGATTAAATACATAAAGTATTGTGTCATTTAAAATAGTTCATTATAAAAGTTTTGCGTATTTTTTTATTCATTTTGAGGAACACTGAATGTTTTCGTGCAAGTGAGATGAGTAAATGCATGTTCACATTTAGTCTAGAACTAAAATAAGCATCATGTTTACACAGCGCACACACACAACACCTCCTCACAACATGGGGACAGGAGAGCTTTCAGATAACAAATGTGGAAAAGTAACTTGCGTCACTTATTCGAAAAAGTATTTTGTAAAGATATTTTGTTGTGAATTGAAAAAGTAATGTGTTACTTTACTAGTTACTTGAAAAGTAATCTGATTACGTAGCTCTAATGTACTGAGTGACCCCCAACACTGGTTGTGTGTGCAGGGTTTAGGAGCCAGCGGGAGGATGAGTCCGTGCTCCACCCTGACCAGCAGCACCGCCTCTCCTCCGGCCTGCAGTCCCTGCTCCACTCTCCCCTCCGCTCCGGGACAGCCCGTCACCAGCCCCTCGTCCACCCTGGAGAGCAGAGACAGCGGCATTATCGGTGAGACTGTTTCCTGTTGTTATACAAATCTTTTTATTGTTTTTCAGTGACAGTACAAAACAGGACATCGTAGAGCATAAAACATTGTCCATTATGAATCCCTTACAAATCAAATCAAAGCTGAATTTCCAGAATCATTACTCCAGTCTTCAGTGTCACATGATCCTTCAGAAATCACTCTGCTGTTTAAGAAACATTTATGATTATTAGCAATGTCGAAAACAGTTTTGAAAACTGTGATAAAAAACATTGTCAGGATTTTTTTATATATATATATTAACTTTTTATATTTGAAATAGGATATTTTGCAACATTATAGATGAGAAAGAGAGATGCAGTAGAACCGAATTTACACTCGCTGTTTGTGAAATTACATTCTTTCAAATTGTTGTTATTGTTTCCCACAATACAAGCGTGGAGCTTATGATAAAATTATGCTGAAATTCAGGCACTGAAAAGATACTTGACACCCATCGAAACAATATCCCCTTGCAAAATATTGCAATATTTTCCCTCACCCCTAGTGTATACTAAATTTGATCTTCTAATATCACTGTCTTAGTGCATTAAGCCATGTTATACTTTTTTCATATCAAGTGTTTTAAGTATTCAGTGTGGCGAAGGCTGTATATGTGGATCGCAAGTGTCCAAAACTTCATCTAATTTTTCTTCTCTTGAGATGTGATCTAAATATTCATGCTTGAAACAGATGTGAACCTGACAGGCCCTCCGGGTCTCTGCACCTGTCACACGACTGAAAACTATGAATTAGTGTGTTCAAACTGAAAAATGCCATGAGGCGTAGTGCACTACGAGTGCTCAGATAATACACTTGTCTTCTTAAAAAAAACACAACAACAACTCTGAAACAAAAATGCACTTGCTGCAATTCTCACAACTTTAAAGATTTTTTGGTAACACTTTGTAATAAGGTCCTATGGAAGCTTGTTTCCGCCACTTAATGAAATAAAAAGCTAATTGCGACTTTTTATCTCTGACTTTCTCACAATTGCAAGTTTAATTGCGAGAAATAAAGTCAGAATTGCAAGATATAAAGTCAGAATTGCGAGATATAAAGTCGCAATTGCGTTTTATAAAGTCAGAATTGCATGTTATAAAATCAGAATTGCGTGATATAAAGTGAGAATTGCGGAATTGCGTGATATAAAGTCAGAATTGCACATTATAAAATCAGAATTGCGTGATATAAAGTCAGAATTGCGAGATATAAAGTCAGAATTGCGCATTATAAAATCAGAATTGCGTGATATAAAGTCAGAATTGCGAGATATTAAGTCACAATTGCGTGTTGTAAAGTCAGAATTGCGTGATATAAAGTCAGAATTGCATGTTATAAAGTCAGAATTGCGTGATATAAAGTCGGAATTGCGTTTTATAAAGTCAGAATTGCGTGATATAAAGTCAGAATTGCGAGAAATAAAGTCAGAATTGCGTGATATAAAGTCAGAATTGCGTGATATAAAGTCGCAATTGTGTTTTATCAAGTCAGAATTGTGTGTTATAAAATCAGAATTGCGTGATATAAAGTCAGAATTGCGAGATATTAAGTCGCAATTGGGTGTTGTAAAGTCAGAATTGTGAGATATAAACTATTCTGAGGGGAACAAAGTTAAGTCTTTTTCCCCATTAGAATTGGCCGGATAACTCACAATTGCAAGTTTATATCTCGCAATTCTGAGAAAAGATGTCAGTATTGTGAGATAAAAAGTCTCAATTCTGTCTTTTTTTCCTCACAATTGCGACTTTATTTCTCAAAATTGCGACTTTATATCTCGCGATTGCGATTTTAAGTTTCACAATTGCGACTTCATATCTCGCAATTGCGACTTTATTTCTCAGAATTGCGACTTTATATCTCTCAATTGCGACTTTAATTCTCAGAATTGCGACTTTATATCTCGCAATTGTGCCTTTATTTCTCAGAATTGCGACTTTATTTCTCAGAATTGCGACATTATATCTTGCAATTGCGACTTTATTTCTCACAATTGTAACTTCATATCTCGCAATTTTGAGATAAAAAGTCGCAATTATTTAAAAAAAAAAAATTTTATTCAGTGGCGGAAACAAGCTTCCACAAGGTCGCATTAGTTTACTACCATTAACTAAAAACGAACAGTACATTTGTTACCAAATATATGTTTTTTTTATATATATATATAATTCAAGTTAATAAAAAAAAAAACAACTGTTCATTGATACCACTTGTTTGCTCAGGTCCGTTTAATAATATTAACAGATACAACATTTGATTTTAAAGTGAGTCGTCAGCAATTCCAGTCTCACTTCCTGTAACATACCTACGTAGCAATGTAAGAAATTTGCATAATGCCAGTCTATGCTCTTCATTGGCTGCCTGTGATTGCTGTCTAACTTTGACCCGCCCTCGAAGGCTATAGTTAAATCTGAGACTGGAAAAGCAATTCCTCACGCTGGAATTGATATGTAAACACTGACGCCATCATTCATATCACTGTGCATCAAGTGCTGAGGAAGAGCTAAAATTCAGATATGGTGATTTTGATGGCGTTTTATATCTGACATGCGCTGTTAGAGGTCAACCAATCACAACAGACCAGTCTATGTTACAGTCACAGTCTGACCAATCAGAGCAGGATTTTAGAGTGACTGAATCTTTGAACGAACCATTTTCAGACCAAACGAGGCGATGCACAATGTATATTATGAGAAAATGTAAGTGTTTTTTGACCTTGGATGCTTGTAAACCTGTTATAGGAGACTCCAAAACAACATTAGGAACTTTTAAAATAGCATAATAGGGCACTTTATTAATGTACTAGTAAATGTGGAAATTAGCATTGACTAAGATTAATAAATGCGTTAGAAATATTTATCACTGTTAGTTCATGTGAAGTATTGTAGTTAACAAATGTATGTAACCTTAATGAAGTGTTACCAGTATTTTTGAGGCTCTAAAGCTCTGTTTTTCCACACATATCTTAAGATAATGGAATGAAAGTCAGTCCAAATGATGCTTGCAAAACTGAGTAGTTCTGCAAGAGCTTAATTGCTGCAATCACTTTTCATACAGTATATTCAAATCCAGCTCCTCCAGGGAAATTATCCTTTCTAACAGGATTTTCTTGTCACAACTTTACACACATGTGAACTGAAAGAAGCACAAATCTTGACAGCTTCTCTTTTGCATCCTGCCTCTTTTCCCAGCCACCCTGACCAGTTACTCGGACCCGGCGGACAGGGGCGGGAAACACGGCGACGGCTCTCGAGGCAGCAGCCTGAAGCTCTGGCACTCACACAGATCCACACTGGACTCCAGCCTGTACCGAGTGGACGAGAACATGGCCGCCTCCACCTACAGCCTCAACAAGATCCCTGAGCCAGGCTCCGCCCACTATTCCTCTCACCCCACCCCACTCTACCTCATGCCCCGCCCTAACTCAGTGGCAGGTGAGTCTTAAGCCCCGCCTCCTCTGATTATGGATGTTTGTGTGCTGTTGTTCATTCTATCTCTTTATCAATCATGATTGTGATTTACACTCAATGCACATAACAATCACACAGCTTTGGGAACAGCTTCCTTTGGCAAATCTCAAACACACAAATCACTGGGAAATATTCAAATATTAAGCATTAGATCTATTTCAAGGGAAAGTTCACTTTGAAATTAATTTTTGGTATGTTTTAGCTTATCTCAAGGGCATCCAAGATGTAGGTGTCTTTGTTTCCACAGTATTTTCAATTTTGATATTTTTAGGTCAAACCGTTCTTGTCTGTCAGTCATATAATGGAGGTCTATGGTCACCACCTCAAAGAGCATGCACAGAGAAGTCCAAATTAAACATGATTTAATGACTCGTAAATGTAAGTACACATTGATGGCCTGAGACACGAAACGAGCGGTTTGTGTGAGAAAACTAACAGTATTTATATCGTTTTACCTCTTGTAAACGCTACACAAGATCACTGCCGCCCCAACTCTAACCGCTAGAGGGCCAAAAGTTACATAGTGCACCTTTAACCACAAACAATAGGAAGTTGATTCGGAATGAAAGGAAAAAGTCACACAACAACAAAACACAAAGAGCAGATGTTCTGTTCATAAAATACGTAACATTTTTAAGGTTGCACTTATTTACACTTATTTATAATTAGGGCTGTGATTAATTAATTACAATTAATCGCATCCAAAATAAAAGTTTGTGTTTACATACATAATATATTTGTGTGTGCTGTGTATAATTATTTTGCATGTATAAATACACACACATACATGTATCTATTTAAGAAAATGTGTTATTCATGTATAAAATATTTATATTTATATATAATATAAATTTTGTATTTATATACAGTATTTACGTGCAAATAATTCTTTAATATATACATGCATATGCATTTATATACACAGAATAATTATACACAGCACACACATATATTATGTATAAACTTTTATTTTGGATGCGATTAATCTTTGCACAGCCCTATTTATAATGTATTACTGTTGTAGTATTTATTATTTATATGAATGTTTTAGTATTTTATATATAAAATGTGAAAACATCAATTATATAAATAGATGTACAATACATTGAATGTAAATAAATGTTGGATGCAACCTATAAACATTATATTTTTTTAAAAGCAACCTATACAATGTTACTTATCTTTGAATATTTAAATTTACATAATTATAATAATGCATGTTATATTACTTTTGTTGTTGCTGTTTTAAATAGCCCACATTTCTATGGGTAATTTGTATGAAATGTTTCTTTAAATGTCATTCAACCTCATATTTTATTCATAAGGAATTTAAAATGCATTGTTGATTCATTGTGAATGGCTCATAATGCACTCTCCATTGTCCAATCCGGTTACACCATTAGAACTCAATCATACAAGTGTGTTCACTCGCAGCCACTCATTGCCATCAAATAGCAGTTAGTGATGGAATCAGCCCGGGTCATAAACGATATATTTTAGCTCTGCGCTAACAGGAGATAATAGTGGCAATAACGGTGAGTCTTCTAGAAAATAGCGCTCCCTGAAGTAAAAGCTAAATCTGTCTGATGATGTTGATATGTCTCTTATATAACACAGCACCTCTTCATTGCTGGCTGATTGTGTTATTGTCCACGTAATCAGCATTGTTTTATTTATGAGAAGACCCTTTTTTAGGAGAGGAGAGAGAGAAGTGAGTTATGATTATCTCAAAAGAAAGTGCCTCTCAAAAGGGCAAGTTATATAAAAGGTTATTTCTTAATGGAGAAAACGGCTGGTATTCACGCTCACTGATCAGAAGTGATGCGGTTGCTCTGAAAAACCACCCGAGCCTGGCAGCGGCATTAATCGTTTCTCCAATCTGACCGGGGCAAGCTGTTTAGAACGCTCTGGAAAATATACTATATAATATTAAGATGAATTATTCTTTTTATTGTACCAGAATATTTGTCATATTAAGTTAACACACAAATGGCAGGTCTGTCATTATTTACTCATCCTCATGATTTTTCAAACCCATTGTAATGTATTCTATTCTTATATCCTGGCCACTCCTTTTTATATAATAAAGGGAATATATACTGGTGCTCTCAAGCTCAAAAAATATAAAAAGCACCTTCAATTCAGCCATAAAAATATGAAGGAAATATTTAACTGAAAAAAAAAATTGGCAAAAGAAGGCAAACTTTGTTTTACTATGAAAGAAAATGCATAGAATAATATATTTAAGCTGACAGGAAAAAGCATAGGCCTGCCCTACACTGACTATACGATATAATCAGTTATTATTATTTCATTGGTTCTCTCTTGTTTTTGCATGTGTTCATAATTTATTTGTATGACAGTTTGGCCAAAAAATATATCTGAAGCACAATTTTCATTTGTCAATTTTCCTAGGCCGGACATTACTTTTGGCCACTGTATCAAGTCATACGAGAAGTGATTATTGACCGTCATTAATGTTTTATTTTTAATTTACTGTACTCATTTTTTGTAATTTAATAATTTTATTTGTAATTTACTAATTTAGTCATTTTATATGTAATTTAGTAGTCTACTAAACTGTTGCTGAAGTCAGTTCCGTGTTGATTCAGTTCCATTGTAAAGATCGTCAATTATTAAATTAGTTCATTTCATCTATAAAACAGTTCTGCAAAACATGATGTCATCGTCCAGCTCCGTTCAGTGCTTATTCAACAGTGTCAGTGCAGTCAGATCAATAATATTGTTGACTGTTAAGTGTCCCCAAGCCAGAGTAAATGGTAAATGGACTGCATTTATATAGTGCTTTCACAGACCCAATGGCCACAAAAGCGCTTTACATTTTGCCTCACATAAACCCATTCATACACTCATTCACACACCGACAGCGGTCTCAACAGCGCAGTCTCATCCCAAGGCATCATATAACTGACGTCTTGGGGCGTCTTTTGACCATACGTCAACATCCGCCTTTTTAGGGTAGCCTTAAACGTCAGTTAGATGACGTTATCGGATCCTAACCCTACCCCATACCTAAATCTAGGGATGCACCGATATGAACATTTTGGCCGATAACCGATAATTCTTTATATTTGAAAGCCGATAACCGATATATCGGCCGATAAATCTAAATCCAATTCTTATATCATTTTTTAGATCCTGAATGCAAAAACCATTAAAATCCATTTCCCAATCACACAATTATAATGTTCTCATTATAATTTCATGTAGCCGATATGACAGCACATTTTGCACTTAACTATATTTTCCTTTTTGATTCCAATCATATTTCAAGCAATTAAGATCAATCATGTTGAACAGTGCGCATCTTAAGTGTCTCAAGTGTCTAGTGTTGAAGGAAATAATTCATTATTTATCAGCTTTAATACATCAGCCAAATTTTATTATCGGGCCGATAACGATAAAATAAAAATGAACAAATATCGGCCAATACCGATATGGTGGCCGATATATCGTGCATCCCTACCTAAACCTACCCCGTCATATAACCGACGTTTAAGGGTACCCTAAAAAGGCGGATGGTCAAAAGACGTCCCAAGACGTCAGTTATATGACTTCTTGGGATGAGACTGTGTTAGTCTCAACCATACAAGGCGCCATCCAGCTCGTCGGGAGCAGCTGGGGTTAGGTGTCTTGCTCATGGACACCTCGACACTTAGTCATGTGGAACCGGGGATTGAACCACCAACCTTCCAGTTTGTAGACAACCCACATGAACCACTGAGCCGCTTTTACAATAGAAGCTGTTAAACCAACAGTAGGACAACAATACCTAAGTGCTATGACCCCTCTCAATTTAATTTAACAGTTTTTTTGTTTGTTTTTTTAAGAATAGAATAGAAGAGAAAAGAGAAAGTGTTAGTATTACTGGATCAAGTGCTGTCGAAAAATATACGTCTTCAGCAGTTTCCTGACAGTGGTTGCACCATGGGAACAGTCATGGTATAGGTCAGAGAAAGACATGTTGTGCCTCTTTGGGATGGTACCACAAGACGACATTCGCAAGTTTCCGGATGGCACATAAGTCTGAAGTAGTGAGATACGAGGGAGCAGTGCCAGTGGTTGTTCTGTAGGCCAACATCAGTGACTTGAATTAAATGTGAGCGTCAACTGGCACCTCTTCGGCTCATTAAAGACCACTCTGGCTGCTGCATTCTGGATCAATTGTATAGGTTTGACAGAGCAAGCTGGAAGACCAGCCAGGAGAGCATTACAATAGTCCAGTCTGGATAGAACAAGCACTTGGACACGGATTTGTGTAGCATGCTGTGTTAGGGAGGGCCTGATCCCTCCTAATGTTGTGCAAGGCAAATCTGCAGGACTGGGCAGTTCTAGCAAAGTGGTTTGTGAAGGTCAATTGATCATCAATTACAACCCCAAGGTTCCTAGCTGACCTTGATGGAGTTATGGATGATGAGCCTAGCTGAATGGACAAGTTGTGATGAAGTGTTGGGTTGGCCGGGATAACAAGTAGCTCTGTCTTCGCAAGGTTTAGTTGAAGTTGGTGGTCCTTCATCCAGCCAGAAATGTACGAGCAGTTATGGTTGCAGTTACACTAGAATTCCACTGGAGGTGATCGCGGGTGAGTGCAGATGCAGAATGAATGGGAGTCTATGGGGCTAAACGGCTAAATGTGTCTCTTTCTCCTGCTTGTCGTTGAATCAACATAGATTTTATTGTTGATTCTGCAACTTCAATATAATCTGTAATAAATAGTCGGATAGACTAATATTAGCGTAGATGCCATTCTTCTTTCAATGTAACTAGTACAGGGGTTGGACAATGAAACTGAAACACCTGGTTTTACAACACAATAATTTGTTAGAATGGTGAGGGCCTCATTTTGCATCCAAATACAGCACCAATTGACAGATAGAACTAGAAGTCCTTCACAGTGACCAGAGGGATTATGAGCCGTTCCTCTTCCAGAACAGTGTCCAGGT